CGTGTGCACCACTGGTCACGAAAGGGTTAAGGATATACTTAACTAACACCTCTCAACTCGATGTGTTAGAAATGATCAATTTTACATTTTCTCTAGATCGTTTCTTAGGCGTATAAAATTAATTTCCCATTATTTACGATTTTTCCACGATAGAATGGATAACGCAACGTGGATAATTTTTAAATATTGCATTTGATGGAGGATTGCGAGGCACGAGAGTTAAAGGGTCAAAAGCGCAAGAATGTGAAATAAATAATTGATTTTATTTTCAACACAAATAAAATACGTAATAATTTATCTTAATAAATATTTATGAAATTCAGATTGAACGATACGAATAACAATATTTCGAATAAATATTTTGTCATATTACTATTAATATATTATCATCTTCCACTTTTAATCAAATTTTTTCGTAAGTACAAAGAAGTTAAATAGTGACACTTTTATGTAGGAAATAAAACGTCGAAACTTTGTTGAATATATAAACTTTTTTACGTGTTGCTATTTAAAAAGAAAAAAAAAAAAACAAATAGTTTCACAAATTTACCAATATATACATACTGTGTAACTAGTACTTCCCACTGAAACTTCTGCCGGTATAAATAACTATAACGTATAAAAGTAGGTATTTCCGTGCTATATAAATCAATTTTGTTTAACCTTCGATATTAACATAGAAGAATAACATAAATTTCAGCTGACTTAATATTGTAACTTAAACGCTGCCGCTGTTCTATGTTCAGTCCTCTTTCATCTTACCCCAAGGGGTTGTAGAAGCCCTTAAAGCGTCTGTAGCCAGACGGTAACCGAGGGTACTCACCTGCGCCTAAGTCATTTTCCACCATACTTTCCTTGAAACGTATTAAGTACTACGACTTAGCGTGTACAAAATTGACGCAGGTAATTAACAATGTTTGCTCGCTGTTAACTCTTGTATACGAAAACGTACGCGTGGTTGTATTAGATAACAATTTTGAAGAAATAATTCAAATTTAAGGAAAGTAAGCACTTGGTGAAAATATGACAAATAAGTAATTGACGTAATAGAAGAAGTGAAAATACTCTTTGCTCTTTGGTACTCTATATAGCTATTAAACGAAGTGAATTGTATTAATTTTATTAATTACTTTTATGTGCAAAACACCGGTATGTTGATTACAAATTAATTCGAAACGCCGAGTACAATGTAAACAGTAAAGTAACAAATGAAATTGGAATTTTATTCATATTGGAGTTTTTAACGCAGAAAGATAAATGTAGAATTTCATTTGAAATAATTAGTCTTCGAACTTATACGATTCTACGTAATGTATTGTTATTTAAAACCATCGATCGTATTAATTACACTCTGTTATCCGATTCTAGAGGAATTAATTTTCAATCTAATTATCGAATTTCATATTTTATCGCAATAACGATCGATTTATTGACATACGAATTTTATCAACTGCTCTTTCGTTACCGAATATTTAATCATATTACTGTACTTGTTGTTTTCTTTTTTATTTACACTGTTACTTTCAAAGAGAACGACGCGGACAGTGTAGCTTTTCTTGAGAAAACCAAGGTATCCAATCAACGTGAACCTTTTAAGGAAAACTATGTCGAGTCAACTGCATACACCTGTAAATAGAAACCAACCCTTGTAGTCGCGATAGTTGATTTCAACGAGGAAAGTAAATTGATGACCGGTTTCCTATGTGTTTCAAGATTAAAAGAAAGTGTTCCTTCACTTGATTGAGTATTGAATTCCCATTTACGGCACCTTGACACACTTAATACTCGTCGGAAAATTTTTTAAAATAAATTTTAAAATAGTAAAAAATGTTTTCACATACTTCTTGCATAAATTAAATATCAAAGAATAATTGGTCGCAAATTAGAAATTCCCTCTTTCGCGTAATTTCCGAGGAAATAAAATTTCGGGCATAGTAGATATAATTATCGTATCGAGGATCTTATAAAATATTTCACAAAAGTTACACACTTACACGTACTTGAAATCACAGTTAGAGCAGAATTATTCAGTTTTATCCGATTATTACGAGCCCACGCCTGTTTAGACACGATCTGAGGATTAATAATTTGTCGACGTGGTTGCGTAACTGGCGTCAATTTAAGAATTACACCAGCCTATGGTGAAGATTTTCACGGCGTGGAAAGAGTAACGAGTGCAGTGACCGGCGCTGGTCTCTCGGACCTTCGTCGTTATTCCACGGGAGATGCAGCACACCTTGAAGAAAAATGGGACGGTGCAGGTAGTTTGAAGACAGTGAAAGAAGACGGGAGAGACAGACGTAGAGAAGGGACTATCCACGTGTCGGAGTAACGGTTCGCTGAATTATTTAAAGCATGACGGAGGACTTTGCAAGCACAGGAGGTTCTTTACACCCGACTTGCATACGAGATACCGGCTGATTTAAGTACATCGTAGATGTGTCACGAGATATAAGTACATATGCATATCGAGAAATTACACGCGTACGTAACGCAATTTGAATGCCCTCGAACGTTGCGCACAGGTAGAAGCTCTTGTGTTTGTTGATAAATTCGAAGACATGTACAGGCTTACGTATGTTCGGGCTTAAAAGTGTGATAACAGATGATAGTGTTTTCTATACAATGTAATTTTTCTGGTTTATTAATATGGAAATTTTATTGTTCGTGCGATATATTTGCGACTTGCCTAAATTACGAATATTTGCATAAGATTTTATTACACGCTTAGGCTTAAAAGTGTGGAATTGGTTTAATAATAAGATGTGAGTGATGGCGTGAATGTAGTGAGTATATCGTATGATCTCGAGATTTGGTAAACGAGCGGATCATACAGGGTAACTGGGGGTAAAAACAGGTGAAGCGCGTTGTTATTGATATCTGAGAGTACGTGAGAATTTATTGCGAGATATATTTAGAATTAATAAGTGTTATACAACCACAAAAAGTATGACAAAGGATTGCAGTGTTTAATGTACAATATAATTTTTTAGTTTATCAGTGCGGAAATTTTACCGCTTTGAGCATTATTGATTAAGAAACATAATGATAATGTAGTTTAAATGATATTTAAATTTCCTGAATTAATCATATTACAGAAATATTTTTCCAAATTATTTGACTTCTCGTCATGGATAAAACATGGTATTTAATTTTATCACACTGACATTACGATTAGAAACTTTAAACTTCCTAAATCTGCAAATTATCATATCGCAGAAACGTTCACTGTTTAAGAAAAAATATTTCTCCAAAAAATTTTGCAAATTATTTGACTTTTCATTGTGGATAAAACAACTTTTGGTATGCCTAATCAGTTCAACTTAACTCCAACGACACAATCAGAAACGTCGAGCTTCCTAAATTTCCGGTTCGTTCAAAAAACTCTACATTCTTATTCAAATTTCAAACGAAACAACATCGTCGGACACGCATCCGTATATCTGCCTAAGTTAAAACTTGTCCGAGACTTTATTCACGTCGTTAACTGAAATGTGTTAAGAAATATGCAAGCTCCAGACAGCAGAGTTTCAAAAAAAGAAAAAAAGAAGAAGAAGAATCCTCCAGTCTCGTGTTCTTCTCAACTGCAACAATATTCCAAGCCAGACGTATTTATTCTGTTGTTGGTCGGTGCGTGGGTTGAAGAAGAAGCGATATATTGCAACTTATAAAACCAGTTGCAAGCAGAGTGAGCAGAGCGCGGTTGTCCCCGGCGGAGGATCAAACGGGGCTGGCACGAGGATGGAAAGAGACGCGAGATTGATCGAGAAATAGGGTGAAGGCGAGATCTCAATGGAAAGAGGGGGAGAACATGAAAGAGAGAGAGAGAAAGGATTGTCACATCTCGTTCTCGTAGACAGCACGGCGCCCCACGCTCTATATTAATTACTTATCCCCAATATGATTTGGAATAAACAACGCAGTCAGACACACACCTACTTTTTAAAGCCTCGTTCCAATTACACCGGAGGTTCCCGAATAGATTGTGATAAGATGAAACGCGCGTGGTCTTGATGGATGGTCATTGTAAAGCTTGGTGTTATTCAAACGTTTATTTCTACGAATCGAATTGACACGGTGTGTTATTCGAAAGAGTTAATTCGTCGGTTGTGTGATAAGATTACCTGATTGATATATATATTCTTTTGTGATTATGAAAGTGATAGTAGTAGCATTAGAATTTCAGAAAATAGTTGCTCTTGTGATTTTGCTCTTTTTTATGGAAAGATCGATGTACCGTGAAGTTAGTGGTAAATTTAATTTTTTTAGAGTAATTATCAGTGTATATGTATGGATAATCTTTTTATATCTTCGGTAGGATTAGGTCGTTGCGTATGAATCGTTCGTAAATGACAATTTTCGTCTTGTTTTTATCGGAGATCTTCGAAACTCTAAGAGAAACTTGGACTATTAGCTAAATTGTAGAGGAAACAAATTGTTTCATTGCTAGAGGATTAATTTTTGAGTAATTAATAAATTTCTACTACGATCAATTTTAAACAGCATTTTAGAAATTCATTGTCAATATTCAGATTTCTACAACAATGGGCCAACTTTACTTACCATTCGTCGGTAAACATTTCAACTTTTCAACTCTGAAAAATTTCATTTTAACTACTTTTTCACGTTATTGAGGTTCAAAGTTTCATCTACGAATCGGCCATTTCAAGTGCAACATTTCGTTATACTTTTATTCGTACAATCATCTGCTTAGCGGCACATTAAAAAGTCTGTAACAAGTGTCTCATTACATTCATATGCTTTTTGCTTGGTTGAGCATATCTGATTGGTGGTACGGCAAAACAACCGCAGAGAAGAACGTGACGAATGATTAAACACACGCGTAATACTTGACCGCGAAAGAAAGTATCGAAACGGAGTTACGCTATCCATTATTCATTAGTCAGTTTAACGCGTCTGTGTTACAACGTGTTCCTTATTGTATCGCCATTTTTACAATACAATATTTTGCATATCTTTTCTTTCCTTCACTTTTTCAGAGCGATCCGAGTACGGCATTTCTTCGAGCAGCTCGTGCTGGCCAGCTAGAAAAACTTTTGGAATATTTGGAATCGGGGGTGGACATTAATGCTTCAAACGCTGTAAGTCGATATTTTTATAAGTGCAAATTAAAGTTTTCTTCTTCTACAAATAAGTGTTGCTTCTTTTATACGAAGATTGTTAGTTCTCCTTGAGCAATCTGGATCTTCGACGACCCAAGTGAAATTTCACTCTTGGTACTTGTTCGAATTTTGATTTTTATCGAACGAAGTTTTAAACATTTCACTTAACGAACGATTGTACGATGTAGCAGGGACTTTGATAAGTACTCTAGATTTTTTTCAGATTTTTTGAAAGCTTGAAACTGTAGAAACGAGCCAGCTTGCCTACGGAGAGTGGAAAAATATGTTTGCCTACGAGGATTATTAAAAATAAATAGAATATTAAGTTTATCGACAGTAAATATGCTTTCTATATGGGAAAGTTTATGGATGGAGGTTGTACGAAGGATGTATTAATTGCAGAATGGCTTAAATGCTTTACACCTGGCAGCTAAAGATGGACATTTGGAAATCGTCAGAGAACTTCTCAACCGTGACGCAGTGGTCGATGCCGCTACCAAAAAGGGAAATACGGCATTACATATCGCTTCTCTTGGTAAGTAGGCACATTACCATTTTTATCTTTTTTATATTCTTCGAGGACGAGGATCTTATCACGAAGAGATACGTGTCCTTTAGGTATCGAAGCTTCCTTTTGTAGTTCAACCCTTTCGTGACCGCATTTTTTTTTTAAGTTTGCTTATCTACCGATGGTATCGCGTTTGTAATGGGTCCGAAATTTGGATCAATTTTTGTTCGAGTACTCTGGTCACGAAAGGGTTAAGTTCTATTTTTTTTTTTAGTGTTCTGATAAGAAAACAAATATATAAATATAAGCAGGATCTATGAAATTCTTTTCCCCTTTCACTTTCTTTTTCGTTAAATGGAGTGTATTGCGTGTAATACACGTGGGATGAGCATTCCGAGTTGAAATTAATATCTCGTTACAGCTGGACAAGAGGAGGTGGTACAATTGCTCGTACAACGAGGTGCTTCTGTGAATGCACAGTCACAAAATGGGTTCACGCCACTTTATATGGCTGCTCAGGAAAACCATGATTCCGTAGTGAAGTTCCTCCTGAGTAAAGGTGCCAATCAAACATTGGCTACTGAGGTTTGTAAATGAGATTGACGTTTGAAAGTGATTTTAACACGTTCATTTTCATCGTAGAATATCAGAGTAGTGTAATTTCATATTTTTATATGTTGCAACATGTTATTGGATATTTTTACGATGAGAAAATTGTGTGAATTTTGTAATTGATATGTAGAACGTAAAATTATGGGCATTTTTTATTTTATATTCAGGATGGCTTCACCCCATTAGCAGTAGCAATGCAACAGGGCCACGATAAGGTAGTAGCAGTTCTGTTGGAAAACGACACTCGTGGTAAAGTTCGACTGCCTGCCCTCCACATTGCTGCCAAGAAAGACGATTGCAAGGCGGCTGCCCTACTTTTACAAGTATGTCGCAATAATTTATCACTGAGGTCCTACATTCAATCCTATGCGATCGGCATGCGAAAAGGAATGAATTCAATGCATATGAATTTATATATATTTTTTATTCTCTTCTTTTGCTGTTACAGAACGATCACAATCCCGACGTAACATCGAAGAGCGGCTTCACACCGCTCCACATAGCTGCGCACTATGGTAACGACCGAATTGCTTCCTTGCTTTATGACAGAGGAGCTGACGTGAACTTTGCGGCAAAGGTGTGACATTTATAAGTATCTCGGTTTAGAACAGTTAGAAACTGTAAAGAAAATCGAAATGATACTGAATTAATAGTTAAATTTCCATATATTTAAATTTTTAATTATAAATATTTTGTTCTATGTTGCAGCACAATATCACACCGATGCACGTAGCAGCGAAATGGGGAAAAATTAAGATGGTGAATCTATTGATGAGCAAGGGAGCAAACATCGAAGCGAAAACGAGAGACGGCCTTACACCTCTGCATTGCGCTGCACGATCTGGTCATCATGAAGTTGTTGACATTTTAATTGAAAGAGGAGCACCAATTGGTTCCAAGACGAAGGTAGATTTTTGTGTATGGTAAAATGTTTTCTGCTGACTGATTTAGTTGCGTCTTGTTTTCTGTTGACAGAACGGTCTTGCACCGTTGCACATGGCTTCTCAAGGAGATCACGTTGACGCTGCGAGGATATTATTGTATCATCGTGCACCGGTAGACGAAGTGACGGTAGATTACTTGACGGCGCTACACGTGGCAGCTCATTGCGGACACGTACGAGTGGCTAAGCTTCTACTCGATAGAAATGCCGATCCAAACGCACGAGCTCTAAACGGCTTTACTCCACTTCATATTGCATGCAAGAAGAACAGGCTGAAGGTCGTTGAGCTACTCTTAAAGCACAAAGCTAGCATCGAAGCGACTACAGAGGTATATTCCCCATTTGTTTTTATTAGTCTAGTTCATTTACTTTCCTTAGTTTAATACCTTTCATCATAGAGGTATAAATCATAGGTACTGTAGTATCAATTATATTTGCCTTTATCTAGGAACACAAATGATTAGAAATAATCGATACACTGTACCGAAACAATAACGAAAGAAGAATATTATTATTTCTTACGATTAGTAATAATAGATTCATTTTATTGCTTAGTCTGGATTGACGCCTCTACATGTAGCAAGCTTCATGGGGTGCATGAACATAGTAATTTATTTACTGCAACATGCAGCTAGTCCCGATATACCGACAGTAAGGGGCGAAACGCCTTTGCATTTAGCTGCCAGAGCGAATCAGACTGATATTATCAGGATACTTCTTAGAAATGGTGCCCAAGTTGATGCCAGAGCAAGGGTAAAGCAAAAATTGAATATTTGTCAAATTTCATTTCAATGTACATGTTATAGTGAAAAGAATGTATCAATATTCAATTCTACGTACATTTTCTTATTTCTTGTAATAACTGTTCTCTTATGTACTTTCATTTATATATGTGTGTAATAAAGTAATAAAGTCACTTGTAATAAAGTAGATTTCAAAAATACGAACATTACAGGAAGAACAAACACCATTTCATGTTGCTTCCCGGCTGGGCAACGTTGATATTGTAATGTTATTACTTCAACATGGTGCCGATGTAGATGCTACGACAAAAGATTTATATACACCACTTCATATTGCTGCTAAAGAGGGTCAAGAAGAGGTACAATTTTAAAAATATAGACTATATCGTTACTTTTAATTATTTATCGACAATTGTAACTAATTTTGGTTTATAAATTTTTGTTTTAATATAGGTTGCATCCGTTTTGTTAGAAAACGGCGCATCGCTTACCGCAACGACCAAAAAAGGATTCACTCCTTTACATCTGGCAGCTAAATATGGTAACATGAACGTAGCAAGATTGTTATTGCTGAAGGATGCACCAGTTGATGCTCAAGGAAAGGTCAGGAAGATTTTCTGTCATTTTGTTTAAATAAAATATCGTTATCTATATTAGATCTGGTCTTAACGTTAAATACTATTTTTATCGATCAATCGTAGAATGGAGTAACTCCACTTCATGTAGCATCTCACTACGACCATCAGAATGTAGCTTTACTTCTACTTGATAAGGGTGCGTCACCTCATGCTATGGCTAAGAATGGTCATACACCGTTGCATATTGCTGCACGGAAGAATCAGGTAAATAATTAGAAAATTATGAATTTTAATTGGATTACTTGGTCTGTTATCTACAACTGAAATATAATTGTATGTCTGATGCAGATGGATATTGCAACTACTTTGTTAGAATACGGGGCAAAAGCTAATGCGGAATCAAAAGCAGGATTTACGCCGCTACATTTGAGTGCACAAGAAGGCCACACCGATATGTCAACGCTTCTTATTGAGCACAAAGCAGATACAAATCATAAAGCAAAAGTAATATGGCATACAGTGATTATTTGTTGTTCGTAATCATCACGATTCATAATATTTTTTTATTCAATAATTTTTTTTCTTTTTAGAATGGTCTCACGCCGCTTCACTTGTGCGCACAAGAAGATAAAGTTAACGTTGCCTCTATTCTCGTTAAAAATGGTGCTCAGATTGATGCTAAAACAAAGGTATGTTATATTGTCAAAGACATGACAGCAGCTAAGAGGTTGTACATTAATGAGATATTTTTATTTGTGTTACAGGCCGGTTATACTCCATTGCATGTGGCAGCTCATTTTGGTCAAGCAGCTATGGTACGATTCCTTTTACGATCTGGTGCAGCTGTTGATAACAGCACGAATGCTGGATATACTCCACTGCATCAAGCTGCACAACAGGGTCATACATTGGTGATCAATTTGTTATTGGAGGGGAAAGCAAAACCGAACACTACTACGAATGTAAGTCAATTTTATGAAAAATTCGTGTTCGCATGTTTCACTTTTTCTACTCTAGTAACACAATATTCTGTTTTCTACAGAATGGCCAAACTGCTTTGGATATTGCACAAAAACTTGGTTATATTAGCGTCATCGAAACATTGAAAGTAGTTACAGAAACCATCATTACAACGACTCATACCGTTACTATAGAAGAAAAATACAGAGTACAGGCCCCTGAATCAATGCAAGAGACGTTTATGAGTGACAGCGAAGACGAAGGTGGTGAGTGTTTGCTACATTTTAATTTAAAAGATTTCGAATCTTGCTTTAATACAAGAGGTATATTTTGTGTAGTTTTGCAAATTTAATATATATATACATATATACTAAAATTTTGAGATAAAAAACATTACAGTAACGTTAATTAGAAAAGTATATTTGAAAATTAGCTAAGTCATTGTGTATCTGTATTGGCAATAATGTAAATTTTATTCTAACATTCTAATTTATTTGTTTCATAATTCGAGATTTGTGTTTAAGATAACACACATCGCTTTTTAAAGGAAATTACTTTATTAGAATATTAAATAGAAGTTTATAATGCAGGTAGTAGTAATCTGCTAATATGCTTGAAATGTATATGTATAATTCTGCTTCTGTAATGTATGCTTCTTATAGGTATAGCAGCTGATAGCGTGTATAGAAAAATATTACACATTCTAGCTTCAATAATTACTATTTAATACATATTCAAATTTACTGCATGAAATTACTCTTTCATGGGGAGTGCATAACAATACTTATTTGAATAAGTACTAAATATATATGTGATTAAACATATTGCTTTTACTTAAGTAAACGAAATGATTAAATTTAATCATTATATTTTACAATATTACATTTTATGTTTTGAGACATATTAATTTAATATTACTTGTATAAGGAATTACTACTATATATTATCTCATGCCTTTTTTTTTTTATATACATATAATAATAGTTAATCGTACCTTGTGTTCTAATTCTTTCGCGAATATATATATTTCGATAGCATTTTAATAAAACGTCCATTCTTATATATGCATACTGCATGAAAATGCAGTTTATTATAAGAAAATTTTACCTGCTACTAAGATATAAAATGTTAAAAATAATACGAAGGACATACGAAGATAGCATTTTTCATTCTAATCACTGTACTATGTGTAATTCTTTTAAAAATGCATGTACTACTTTGCGCATGAAAACACACGCAGATAGAAATTAGCACGTGTTAACACTGTGAATCCTACAATGACCTACCTTAATACAAATTTCTGAAATACTTATACCTAAGGAATTACAAAAACACAACCTAGTTTTGACTAGAAAAACATTGACACTCGTTAATAGATATATACGAATTCGATTACAAATATTACTTACCAGGCATTATTTTTAATTAAGAAAAGAAATATTTAGAAAACCATAATTATTGTCTGCTATATTTCCAATTTATAATGAAGGTGCTACATGGTAATATTATTTGCTTGTCTTGTTGCGTTTATGTTACATTTCGCAAGAGCATGTGTTTAGCGTATGTTCACTGGGTTGTTGCTATCTTTGAGGAAAAATATTTAATTTCCCTAAATAGACGCATAGTTTTTAGATGCATAAATAAACTTTAATAATCAAATTTTGATCTCTTAACATCTAATCTTATAGATTATCAAGGTTTCGAATTTTAGAAAAGTCGTCGTAGTAGTGTAGCATTTGCCTTACACAGGTAATATTCTTATTAGAGTTTACAACTAAGAATTAGAAATCTACTTTTGATAAAAAATTATTTTTCCAAAATAATATCATTACAGTAGATTTTTAAGCTAAATCAGATCAAGTAGAGTTATATTTATCTGTGTAAGATTGTATCCTAAATAGTAAACAGTAACATACTCTAGACTAAATTTCTTTTTTTACAACAAATGAAGTGGAACAAAGCTTAACTATAACTACAAACTAGAACAAATAATGAATTTAACAGGTTTGCTTGTTTGCTTAACTAAAACATATATTCGCATATCTGTTTTATTTACCAAATGCGAAACATATATATATATATATATACACATATGAAAATACTATCGAGTATTCCTTATTTGATATTAACAAATGTTTCGTTAGATTTCCTTTCTGTTAACGCGTAAAAAGAGCATAGTACGAATGGTGGGAAGTATAGAAATTATTTGAAATTTTTTAAAATTAACCGCGCTAGTCAGTGTAAATTTTTGACGCAGTGGAAGCAAACGAACAAACTAGACTCACGGTAAGCTTATCTCCTGCTACGTAAAGTCGGTTATTTAACAACCCAGTGATAGCAAAATTTAGAAACAGTGTTTATGGTGCGAAATTAGCGTTTTGATAAAAAAATGACCTTACTCGACGGCGTACAATGTAGGTGGTGATGAAATCGGCATGGCAGCCATGAATGTGTACGGGCAGCCTCCACACGCGCAACACGTGTACCTTCCTTCTTACTACCAGGGCCAAATGACCTATACCCGTAAGTTGTCTGTACTCTGTTTCTGTCACTCTTTCACATATCACACGTGCGCGCAACATTCTGTATTTATATATACATATATACATACATACATATATATATATATCAGCACATGGGTACGTAAAAATTAATCTCGCGTAGTACGTGCGCATTGTATCATTCATTTCGTTTTAGATTCCATTTACGAAATCATATATCAGTATCTCTTTCGCTTTTACGTCAATATTTAAATGGCCCTTGATTGATATTTAACATTAAAGTTTGCCGATGCATATTTCTTCTTCTTCTTTTCAATACGTACACTAGATTTTAACCTCTCTGAAATACTGTTCTAATGTGTTTTTTAACGATCGTAGAGTACTTTTGATTTTTATGTAAGGGAAAACAGCTGAATAAGAGCTTCGTGTGTTTTTTGTAATACCTTCAGTTCGTTGCAGCGTATTCCTTTTTCTGTTTTCATGCGTGAAAACATAAATACAGAGACATGCACAGACATATACCTCTCCTTAAACCGCTATTCGTTTACACTCTGTTTCGTTTACCCTCCTTGTCGCTCCATTTTTCCTCTGTAAAGTTGGTAACCCCCGTATCTTTGAAACGCCTGTAGTAGCCATAATACAACCTTCTTGACGTGATTTACGCTTTGAGTTTTCTGTATTACAAATAATTTTCGTTGTGCAACTAATTTTAAATGCTATCGAAATCTAATATTATGTTCCGTGGAAGTCTTAATTGTAATCAAGCTAATTAAAAGGCAACGTTTCACACGTGAAACTTTCAACGCTACATAAAAAAAAAAACATTTTTATTTTCATTCTTTTTCATTTCGCAAGTAAGATAACTTTTTGTTGTTGTTTGGATGAAATTTTGTTTATCAAGTTGGTTTATTTTGTATTGTTAAATGGAAGTGATATCTTACGTTGAAATGCAACTGTGAAAATTGGGAGAATAACGAAGGTATGGTAGTTCTTTTGGATGTTCTCTGAAAGATTCCTGTTGTATTCAACAATTTCTTAGTTGCTTCTTTGAAGTATTTAGAGCTATAAATTGATATTACACCCATCACTAAATACGCAGTAGATGTGTATATAAGAGTTATTCTTGCTACTTGCAATTCAACGAGATCATTATCATACGTTCATTACTCGTCACATTCAAATGTCTCACATGGGTGCCATTTATTATTTCCATGGCAACGGTTTAACTCTCCGCTATTACGGATCATATATTAATAGCATACTCCCATTAACATTGACATTCAAGAAATTTAGCATAATTTAGTAGAATATAACGAAACAGTACACACCTCGACATCGAATAATTTGACAATTATCATTATTAGTAATTATCAAATTATTCGATTTAATATTAATATCAATTAATATTTTTAACAAAACTTTTATTTCGTTTGTGTATTTAGAACGATGTGTTCTAAATTCAACTGTACTCCAATTTCACACTAACCTTATTAAAGCTTAATTTCACGTAAAGCGAAGTTACATTTAACGAAGTTACATTGCACTTGGTTCACATTTTTAAGTGTAAAATTGAGAAAACGGCGCGTTAATGAAGTAGGGCGCGTTACTACTGTTAATGTAATTTGCATAATAACGAGTTGTACGATCATTATGTCAGTCGGCAGGAACAGACGTAGGCTTGTGTGGTCTGTTTTGACGTATCATCCTCGTACCTATACGCATTCTGCTTCAGCTGTTATGCAACAGCCGGTGTGCATCTTGTAGCATATTATTCGTGCAGTTAGTCGAACCCCCGCTAGCTGGCACTTTGCCAAATACAATTCACGACCAAAATATCAGAATTTATATAACTAAATTTCTTTTCTTTCTTCGATGCGCAATTTCTTTTCGAGAATTTCGCGCGAAACGCGGGAAAAAGTGATCGAGAAATCCTAACGGTGGTAGTTAACATTAATTAACCACGTTGCACCATAAAGTAGAACGTACACGTTTCACTGAAATACATGGAATTTAAGTAGAATTCGTCGTTCTTCTTGAAAATTCGTTCATCCTGAAGAACAAGTTCGACGTTTTCATTAAAGATTAAACATCGAAGCATCCACACGTGTCAATGGATAAGATGAAAGGAAATCTCGAGCTCCTCGATGAATTATATATATATCACCGGCTCATTACCGCTCGTAAAAGTGTTTTTATTACAACCTCGCCGAGAGTAAAATTTTCTAACGCATACATAACCATACTCGCGGTAGTATCGTTCATCGGTTACGCAGTTGTTCCACGATCATGTGCGCACAGTGTCCTGAGAAATGCCCCATTCAATGCCAACAATTGCATCTGGTCACGCTTCGGAGCGTGAACGAGGAAAGAGTTGCAAGCGTTCGAGATGTAAATAAAGTAGCGGAAAAGCTCGAAGTCAGTTACTATTATAAAATTGGTGATTCACGGGAATGAGGTCACGTTTCTGTTAGGTAGAGTAGCCTCTTGCGTCGAACTTGTATTAATCTTGAAGCAGCTAGTCGCTGTTCCTGACCCCGCCGGTGTTAGCACGCGACGAAATACCGCGAAAGAAAGGAAGCATTCAGGTCGCGCTCGGTTAATGCAATTTAACAAATCAAAGCTAATCAGGTGAATACGTTGACGGCTTGCATAACGCGTGGACCTCCTCCAGTAATAGCGATACCCTGAAACGGTGAATAGATCCGCGGACGCGGCTGTATCTCGCGCTCTCAGAACACAGGGCGCTGGTATATAAACAAAGAGGGGTTGGAATCTATGGAGTGAAGTGAGAGCCAGTTTGCAATTGCACGGATGTCATCAATGAATGCGTAGCGATAACGTGCGCTAATTGTAATTCGTGTGACCTGACGACACTCACACATCATTCGACGGGTCTAGTTGAGTCGGTGATGTAATTAGTCCTGTACGTAGCGTATACACTGTCAGTACATCGTGTTCACTGGGCTCGAGTGCAAAGTTGCAGTCGTGTTGTGCTTCAAACTTTTGCCCGCGGAAGTGTGTTTCTAACGGAGTTACAAGTTCTTCGCCGCTTAGCATATTCGACGACGAGTTTTTCCAACGCCCTTGCGATCCTTCGAGGATACTTTGACGCACCTTTCTCGAACGTGTTTTCGTGACATTTCTCTTTTTTTTTGTGTGGCTTCTCTGACACTGTGCGATAAATAAACGAGAAAAAAATGGCCAAGGGACGAACGAAGCGGAAGGAATCGAAAAGTGGCGTGGCATGCTGCGGGTGTACAAGCAACAGGAACAGCGACCCCATATGTAAATATCGTACATCTGTTGTTTCACCATCACGTTTCCTCCGAATGTAATTTTAACACGGTTATTACTCACGGAAATCGCGCGAACGAACGTTCCTTTTTTATATTACGCTACTTTGATGTTTTTCTGTTTCTTTTTTTTTTTCGGTGTTTTTTCTTGGAAAATAATTTCGTTTTGAAGAATTGGTATTTGAATAGTGCAATTTGCCGTTGAAATACACGTTGCCTTGGAACATTTCTCGCGCGATTGAAATTTTTGGCAAATGTTCTTGCATCAATCACACGTGGCTTTAATATTTGTATTATCACAGGGGAAATCATAAACGAAGAAGTGGTCTTCAAACTTCATAATGTGAACATAACACACTCTGTGTATTTACATACTTCATTTAATCCCAGTACTTCAGATTTTCATGATTTCTCCGTTGCAGTTGAATTTATTACAGAGACTATCGCGAATGGATGAAATTACGCGTTACTTGTTATTACGATGAAAAGTGATTTTCTTTCTTTTTTTTTTCGTTTTTTAAATAGAGAGAAATCTTTGATTAA